AACTAACAAAAAATATATAAATGATAGATGCACACACTGATATATAAATAATGTATACACACAAACACACATATATATAAATGATAGATACACACACTGATGTATAAATAATGTATACACACACAAACACAGTCTAAATGTAAAATATCAAATAATGTCAGTTTGATAAAATGACATGAATGTACATTTAATCAATTATATATTTCATATTATAATACTATTATAATATAAAATATATAATTAAATACAATATTATATTATAAAATATATAACAAAATATATATATATATCTAAAGGCAGTTTTGGGCATAAAAAAAAGAAGGGGTTTTTACTTTTCTTTTTGTTCTTAATCATTCTATACCTAAGGTTTCATACCTTACATTTTACCTAAGAATGTAAGGTATGAAATTATATGTATTAAGACTCAACATCTTAGTGATGTAGAAATTTTAATTTCTACATCACTAAGACGTTTTTAACCTCACTACCATGATGATTTATATTTTTCAACCTCACTACCATAACTACCAATGATTTATAGTTGATAAACTGAACTTGATTATTCAACGTTAAATTGATGTGACTTTTTACTTATATTTGATATTGAGGCAGATTATTAACTGTAGATTATTCACTGTAGTCAATTCAAGTCGAATCAAGTCTAATCAAGTCGAGTCAAGCATATCTATACAGTAAGCATATTTATTTTTTAGCCAATTGCAATTTTGGGAACTGACAAAACTCTTCGAGAATTTAAATGCTTACACCAAGTAAGAGACTACGTATTGCAACCTAGAAATAACAAGTTTTATTTATTTTAAGAATTTATCTATCTATCTACACTATCGCAGAAAGTGTGGAGTTTTCCTCCACACTGGTGTGTTGCTATCACTCCTAGACACAAGTGTGGAGTTATTTTGCACACTTTTGTGGAAATTAACTTTTTCTAACTCAAAACTCTCTTCTACATGTCAAACATGTAGAAGAGAGTAGATTATTCACTGTAGTCAATTCAAATTGAATCAAGTCTAATCAAGTCGAGTCAAGCATATCTATACAGTAAGCATATTTATTTTTTAGCCAATTGCAATTTTGGGAACTGACAAAACTCTTCGAGAATTTAAATGCTTACACCAAGTAAGAGACTACGTATTGCAACCTAGAAATAACAAGTTTTATTTATTTTAAGAATTTATCTATCTATCTATCTACACTATCGCAGAAAGTGTGGAGTTTTCCTCCACACTGGTGTGTTGCTATCACTCCTAGACACAAGTGTGGAGTTGTTTTGCACACTTTTGTGGAAATTAACTTTTTCTAACTCAAAACTCTCTTCTACATGTCAAACATGTAGAAGAGAGAACAAAGCTTTGATGTTTGAGGAAAAAAAAGCTAGATGAATAATAGTTTTTTAGGCGTGAAATAACTAGTCACAGTAAAAGGGTGCAAGTTTGAGTTTTAGTTGATGAAAAGAGATGATAGTTTGTATAAGAAGCAAGTTTTATAGCAGTAGTAGCTCTTAGTCTTTAATTAAAATACCAAAATAAAATACCAAATTATAAAATACGCCATATGCAGCATTATTAATAACAGGTATGTTTTTGATTTATACAATAAACTTTAGCAACTGAGGGTGGTTAAGAACATCTATATAAAATATCACAACAAACTTTGTAAACCTGAAAATACAATTTTTAAGTTTTATTCAGCACAATGTAAATCAATTTTTTGACAACTTTTTGAAAAGATTTGAAAAAAAACATAATCTCACTCCTCAATTTATAATATTGATAAAACCAACATAATGACAGTACTACAATCGCCCAATGTTATAGCACCACAAGGAATAAAACAATTAAGACAACGTGTGTCTGCTGACTGTGGGCAGCTAATTACTATGTGTAGTAAAGGCATTAGAAATTTCATTCCACTTGTGTTTATATTTCCTGAAGCAAGGGTTCATGATACCATAATAAGAGAAGGGCATCCTGGTTGCATAGGATTCAAAACAGTCCAACAAGTGGCTGGCTGACAGTGAAATTTTTAAAAAATTTAAAACTTAAAAAAATTAGTTAAATGTTTAAAAAATGATTCAGTTTTACTCTTAATGAACAATTATGGAAGTTTTAACATTTCTTTCCACTGCACTCATCATATGCAACCTTTAGATGTGGCAGTTAATGGTCCTTTCAAGCAAAAATTGTCTGCGTGTCAAAATGATTGGCTTTTATCAATTCTGAGGAAAACAAAAACAATACATGATTTAGTTAGCATATTAACACCAGCATATACATATATTGCCAGGAATATTATTTCTGGTTTTTTTACACCTCGAATATATTCTTTTTCTCAAAACAAAAATTTTTTCCAATGCCCTTAAAATAAAACCAAGTTATAACACCTGAATCCGTAAGACCATTTCCAAATGCTATATCTTGCAAGAAAACAAGTAAAGGTAGAAAAAGTGGCAAATCTAAGGTTCTCACTGACATTCTAGAGA